TACCATTTTGTAACTTTTTGAACTTTAGTTGGTCTTATTAAAGACTTAAGACTCAGGAAAATCTCTAAGATATCGAAAATGTCAAGAGCAGAGCATGCATCTAGATTTGAGTAACATAGAATTTAATACTCCCTCCGTCCCACTTTGATAGTCCTGTTTTCCTTTTTTGTCTGTCCCAAATTGCAGTCCACTTTCCAATTGAAGAATGTAGTTGTATTTTCATTTTCCTAAAATACCCTTATTCAATACAAGTTGTTGTTGCTATAAACCTACCCCATTTAATGAGAGTTGATTCTTTTTTTACCATCAATTCAAGTTCCCATAAAGTTGTACTCTATTTAATGTGAGGGTATTTTAGGAAAATAACAATCTAAATTTACTTTTCCAACAAAGTTAACTACTTTTTCTTAAACTGTGTGAAAAAAGAAACAGGACTATCAAAGTGGGACGGAGGGAGTATAACAAAAAGAAATAAGTGGAGCATTACAAAATGAAAGATTCAAAGATTCTTTGGGGAGGATTTCGTAATAATAAATTACACAAGGACACCCTAAATAAATTAAAATTCAATTTACGTACATTAACAGAAATGAGGTTGACCGACCAGCACCCGGACCAACAACCGGTTGGACCAGTCACCAGAACGCGGCGGTTATGGCCAGCCTGTGCCAACTTGACGCGGTTTTTTTGGTCCAAATAAGTAAACAACGAAAAGAAGGTTTAACTTTTAAAATATGCCCTCGTATTCTTCACTATTGGCGAACAGGACCCATCCTCATTTGTATATTAGTTTTCCAATCTCTTAACTATATATATTTTGTCAATTAGATAAATCTACTAAGGGATCTTAATAGCGTAATTTCATAAGTAAAAACATTGAAGCTCGAGTCTTGAACATTAATCATTGTTTTTGTTTATAGAGTCGTTTTATTTATGACAAAATTTCCTAGCTAACACAGAAAGACTATGAACTTGATTTTTAGTTCCTAATTATTGTCCTTGTAAGAACTTAATTTGTCTTCATTATTTTGAATGTAATAAATACCATAAGACACCTAATGTATTTGCATTTCAATTTCCTTTTAGTATGTGTATAAAAAATTATTGAGAATAAGACACCAAATGTGATCAATAGATTTTTTGAGTTCGACTCTTGCATAATTAATAATAGAATGAGTTTAAAAATATATATATGATATCAACTGTAAATTTTAATTAAAAAAATCAAGTAAATTGATGAAATCGATCAATGCTTTTCTGTTGTATGTCAAAAAATGAAATGAAAATTTATAAAGTGGCTATTACTAAACAACCCTAATTGAAACCACACTTCAATGCATATACCACACCGCAAATGCTTGGGCCAAGAACAAGGATACATAAGCTTGTAAGGGTAGAAACACAAATTGCTTAAAACACGCAAATCAATTAACATAAAATTAACGTTACAAGGAAAAGTCACCGAAAGACCACACCACGAGACGAGAACTATATATATACACGCACACTTGACCTAAATTCCCTCACAAGCATTCACATAGCATTCTCCCATTTTATGGGCTCTGAGGTTTGGGACGTTTTCTAACAAATTCCATTTTTTTTCCATTTCTCTTTTCTCTTTTTTATTCTTCCTTTCCTCTCTCTCTCTCTCTCTCTCTCTCTCTCTTTCTCCAAGGAGATTTTGTCATAAAATCATCAAAGAGAGAAAGGAAAGGAATCAATCAACCAATCAAGAAATGGCAAAATACATGGAATTATTGGATGCAGGTGTCAGAATAGCTGCAAGGTTTCATTCCCACTTCCCACAAACTGCAAGATTGTATTACCATCCTCCGGCAAGTCAAGATGGTGGTCACCACCACCATGAACGGTCCCACAACCACCCTCTTGATGGGTTTTTTGGTCGCGGCATTACCGATGATTCGGCAGCTTTGATGGGACGTTTTGGCTCCGAGGCTGGTGGTTCTGGGATGAATGATTCTACTGATTTTATTCTTTACACTGTTGTCTCGTGACATTAGGCTGAGGCCACAGATTAATGTTTTAACATAATTCTTTTGCTATTTAACTATTGGAATTGGATTGGTTGCAAAAGTTATGGGTTATAGTTTGAATTGTTTTACTATAAATTTTGTGCTATTCTTTTTTCTTTTTTTTTTCCTTAATTATTTATTGCTTTCTTCTTTGATTTTTTCCTTTATCTGGAAGCGGGGTACTATTCAAATTTAATTCAATTTTATCGCTTGATACGTTTTCTCGAATAACAAATATGGATTTGGATTGAAGCAAGGAATATTTTTGAAAGAATAGCATAGATGCCTTTTCTAGGACCGGACCACAAGGGAAGGGAAGCTAGCTACTACCATACACATGCGTAAAATACCACTAATTATTTTTAGGGTGTGTATGTGCATTAGCGGAAGTCAAAGCTTGTCCATTCACGCACGGTATCTAATTCAAACAATTCTGGTAATGGTTTCTTTACACTTTTGAGCAAAAATTGGGTTATGGTGTACCAAACAGGATTCCGGTTCAACTATACAGAGCATATAACGAGCCGAATAAGTCGAGATGAGTTCAACTTATCCGAGTCGTTATTTTGAATCTCAAATTAATGACCTAGACAGCTCGGTTGATTTAAGGCGTCAAAAATATAATATGAATGTAAGTGCAATCGCACCTAACTCCAAATCTAATCGGTTTGGATTGGCCATTTTTCAAAAATTAGTTTTTTTAAATATAATACTAAAGTAATACATAAACAAAAATAACTGAAAAAACATCTCAACTATATAATATATCAAATATTTCAAAAAATTTTTATAGTAAAAATTTTTCATATACACTGCAATAGTAAAATATTTTAAAAACACCTCTATAACACAGTTAATTCAAACAGGGCCAGTTCAAAGTTTTCATTTGACTGGTATAGAATTAGTGACTCATGACAATTCCTATTTCTTTGATGGTAAAGAAAAAGAATTAATAGGAGCCTTTGATATAGAAAGTACCATTGAATGGTCATCTAGTGAAATTACACATAGAACCACCCTGTATTAGATACCTTGTAATTAGTGGTGGAAAGGAAGTGGAGAAAAGCAGAAGGGTTAAAAAAAAAAAAAAAAGGAATATGAAGGCACGTGTTTTCTCAAATTTATTAGTATTTGGTTAGTTCTTTAATTTCGCCGCGGCGCCGGGGTTGTGGGATCGGTTGTCCTGCACTGCATTTGGTGACCCCATTATTGCTTCCCAACCACAAAGTTGAAAAGAGTATCAAACCGTACCAAAGCTAATATTTGGCAAATCCCTCCAACTACGTGACAGCATTTATTTCTTTAAATGAAAATACAAACCGATGGATATGTTCAACGTACATATTTGGTTTTTTTTTTTTTTTTTTGTCATTTTATCTATATACCTAATCTATCTAAAGGAAGGTGGCCCTAGGGGTGAGAGACAGGTGGGACAAAGCTACCCAACGAGTCATGCACACCCGTCTGGATTTTTTAGAAGAGCCACTTATTGTGGCAATTGGTGGAAGGCAAGGTTTGAAACCTTCACCTCCCACCCACCAAGCTCCACCAGCGCAAAGGCAACGTACATATTTGTTGGGTAAGTATTTTTATTTGAACCAAAATCCATCAATGACGACTGGTAGAATTTGGCCGGTCCGACTAAGTTAAAAAGTTTTTTTTATCTCAACTTTTGAGTAATTAATTGATTGACCGGATTTTATCAAAAATTAAAATCCTGACAAAGAATACACACACACATATATATAATAATAGTTGAAGCCTTTCGTACCTCAAAAGAAAAACTAACAAGGGTGATCATAAAGTGAGGCATCTTCTTCTTTATTTTAAATCACTTAATTTTAATTATACATTATATCTTTTTCCATAAAGAATATAGTATTGATGACTTTTTGTAGGACCCGAACATTTCGGTTGAAGATTGTCAAATTCATACATTTCTTTTTTCCAAGTATTGATGTTATGTAAGGACACGTAAGGACACGGAGCAGGACAATCATCAGATCAACCGTCCCTGAATGGTGTAATATTTTTTTAAATATTTTGTAACTTTAAATGAATTACTTGTATGTCTTTACAACATAGACGTGATATTCTGTTAGGTAACTCAAATTTGGATTACATCAATTACACACCAAATTTTCGTTCTTGTTTTTCTAATGCAATTTCTATGTTGAGTTGTCTTTTGGCATATTTGCGACAGATTCTTTTATTTTTGCAACTAGAAAGGTAGGAAACTGTATTCACACATTTGCTTAGTGACTTAGTCGTGCAAAATCCCGGAAATTGCTGCCTTTCTAGAATTTAGGCAAAAGGTTCAACTGGTGTTTGTCCACTATGGCAGATGCATACCTGCAAATTGAAGCCATTTTTCGAACTCATTCCTATATGCTTTTTAAGAGCAATTTCCACAGTCATTCATGCCCGCTTGAGCATCTAGCACTTTTTTTTTTACAGGTCCACTTTCTCAAAAACTTCAATGAAAGCCTATGCTGAGGCAAGACCTCTAATTTTTGAAATGCCAATCTTAGCCATTACATCAATATCCCATCCTATCGATCCTATGACTGCTAGTGTACATACACTGTCAGTGTAAAAAAAATTAATTTTTCTTTCATGAATATCTTCATGCTGAAAAATTAACTTATACGCTATTGTACCATCATTTGAATATCTTTACGCAGCACACAATTGTGCAGAAGAAAGCTGGGTACATAACTATGCCAATGTTTTTGGGTACAGAACTATGTAGCTCTTTTTTTTCAGCCTAATTGCGGTCACACTATTGAGGAAAATTTGCTTGATATAGATGAGCACAAAATTCTATATCACATGCAACCGATTAGTTTGCCTGATCAGCCATTCACAAGTAACCTTAAAAGGTCTGGTGACAGGAAAAGCAAAAAACAAGCCTACATTAACTGGTGTGATTTAAGTTTGAGTGATATCCTCATTCCCTGACTTGTATGTCTGTTAAAAGAGTATCCCTTTTCCCAACCAAACAAATTGCAGAGAAAGAAAACTTATATAGGTTACTTGAGGCGAAGAGAGTCAAAGAAAAAGCGAGAAATCTGCTGAAAGATGCAGGAAATAGCAACAGAACTTCAAATGCAGAGCATCTTTCAGAATAACGCACAATTAGCATAGTCACAAGACTCAGCCAAACCTAAATGATTTTACTGAACAAGATCTTCAAACAAAACAGTGATCCCTGTCACACTACTGACCATCTGAAAGGGGCTTCCGAGCCAAGAAGAAATACATTGGTGTGAAGATATCTTTCCTGCAGAGGCGAATTCAAAGAACCATTAGTTATGACCCTGAAGGAGCCAGCAGATCGGAATACATGACCACACCCCAAGAAAAGATGCTTTAGACCTTGAGTATGCACTTTCTTTCGAGTCAACCAACATGCTAATATAAATAAGGTCTAAATGTAGCACCACAAAGTAAATATGCATCAGAAACAAGCATGAGAGATAACATACATCCCCAAAAATGTTTATTAACACTGACATGTTCCCACTCTCAGTTCTTTCCCGACCAACATGAGCAAAGCACCACTTGTACGTGTACCTTACCCAGGATGAAATAAATGAGCCATTTCAGATGATTATTGGACTATGGGATACAAAAAAGACGAATTCATGTGTTAAAATAATACAAGTGAAACAAACAAAACATACTGTGATGAAAATTTCCAACTAAGTCTAAATCGACAGCTTCAAAACTTTAATAAGTTACTTATTATAATTTCAAAAACAATTCTAACGTGAAAGTTCATAGCTGTAACCTAGAAAATCTAGGGATAACCATTGGATCCATGACATTTTTTCCTTTCAGTTCTTTTAAACAGTAATTACAAGGTAGGGAAGAAGGAAGAATGTAGAACGCGAGAAGCAAGCTTCCACTCTATGACAGGTAGTGGTGCAAAATCTAGATGCTTACAAAGTCTTGGGAGGGCTGATTTCAATTTTGCAGAATTTTTTTTGATGTGGAAGAATCAAAGTTCATTGAGGATCTATTATTGAAAAGAGAAAAAATTTTCAATGGGTAAAAAGGCTACCCACCAGCCCCTAGATCTGCCATTCATAATGAGGACACACATAACACAACTTCATACTCCATACTTATCTAGTCAAGTTCACAAAATTGTTCCTTCCTAGTTTTTGGGTGAACTTCAAAAGCCTTTCTTTTTCGCTTTTTTAAAATTCAAACTAAGCTTCCACCACGCAAGGGAAAAGACCTCAACCAAGATTCAAAATCCTCCATGCAATTTTACTTGATTAGGTAATTCATGCTAATCAGATGGTATGTCACAGGCATTTCTAGTTTCTCTGACTCTTTTGACATTCATGATTCTGATTGCACTTGCAATTACTAAAATATTTGCTATTACTAAGATTATGAGCCTAAAACTAATCTAACCAAATAGCACTTGTGATGCCTTTCATGAATGACTGGTGGTATTTCCAGGGTAAATCCTATATGAGGGCATATATGCAACAGATACAAAGCTGCATTTTAGGAAGAAAAACAGAAGGAAAGTTTTTTCTTCTTTCACGTGCAACCCGAACAAGGATGTAAATATATGCCCCATTATGACTTATGAGAACAAACCAGACTTAAAAATTTTCCTTTCCGGCACCATCTTTTCGCCTAAACAGGAAGACTTGTGATGTCATATCTTTTAAGTTGCAGCCCACTGGATTGTAAAGCTTTCACAGAACCCAATTGAAAAACCACAAGCCTAACACAACTTACTTATCAAAATTATTTGCTTCTAATCCCAAAACCAAGTTAGGTATGATTTTTTTTTTCCAGTTCAGAGATGAACTCCTGTAATAGATTACACAAAAAATTTGTTACCGTGGTGTATATTTGATATATTCGTTTTTTGTCATTCTATGCATTTGATGAGTAAGTCAGACTAGTAATCTATTGTCTGAAAGAGGAGACAATGTGCATAGATGTTTCACCAGTGGTTAAAAAATTGCACTTTAAATAGTTCTGGAAAAGGGATTGAGAGTCAACAAGCGCAAGAGCAGAATCGAATGAGCATAAGAGGAATCAATTCCTCTCTCTTTCCTGCTGGGAAACTCTCTTAAATGAAACAATACTCTGGCAGAATGGTATTTGCAGCACTGGTAACATCCACAGCAATCATGCAATATCAACTAATGTGCAGCATTTTATTTCAGACAAGAGGCCAAGGTACTAGTAACAGAAGTCAAAGTCTGGATAAAAGGCTTACTTTCCACCAGCAACAAGCCCTTCTGCAGCTTTCTCTAAGAAATCTTGAACCCTCTGACTTCCATTTGGGGCAAGTCCTACATACTCTAGAGCCTTAACCTTCAAGAAAACAGATCAATGGTGGCAAAAAGCATAATATAGATCTTATTAGTACAATGGTAGCACAAACTATAGTAAAGGAGCTTTCACTTGTTGTTTCAGTAGCATCAATGGAAAGAATTTAAAAATCTTACTAGGTTTTTGGTAATAAGACGTCCGACTGCTGTTAGTCGGAAACTGCTCAAGGAGAAGTGACTTTTATCCAGGGGCAAGTACCAAGGAACCGGTGAGTCTGCTGCAAGATCTTTCCCCCAAATAACCTTAACAAACAGAAATAGTTTTCCAATAATCAACTGGCAAATTAAAAGCATCCTTGAACATGAAGACTCCATAGAATAATCAAAATTTTGTTACTCACTTCAAAACCTGCTTTCTTCACAGCCTCAAGGCACTGTCCTGTTAATCTTATGTCAGGTAGACCATTGCCAAGCTCTATTTCAGCCTGCAGCCATTAAATTTGGTATTTAGATGTAAATAATCCATTTAAGAAATATATACTGCTAAACTATGCTAAGGAGATGATCTCCATGCTGCTTCAAATACCTTGATTTTTTGATGTTCTCTGTTATTGGGGTCAAAAGAGTCTGTCATACACCATTCATATGCAGCAAAACATTGACCAGGTTTTAGTACCCTATATATCTCTTTGTAGCATCCCACCTTAAGGCCAGAAAACAAACATAAGTAAGCAGACAAGCAAACACACAAAGACGAGTTTAAGTCATCAATAATTACAATTAGTCAAGGAAGAGGACTCTACAACCTGGTGTAAAAAAACAAACAAAAACCAAATATAGCTTGGAAGTCTAAAATGTCACATCAAGGATGAAGAAATGTCCCTACCACATCAGGTGCATGACATGTAGCTTCTATTGCATATACTGCATCAAAATGGTTGTCAGGGAATGTCATTTTCATGAAATCAGCCTGCAACATCATTAAGCAATGCTATAACTAGAGAGGACAGAAATCAGAACCGGAGAATAACTTGTTAACTTGTCCTCCTTAAGTTACTGACCTTCACAAAGTCACAAGTGCGTTCTACCCCAGCAGCATGGTTCAGTACCTAGAGTCAAGGATAAACACATTGGAACATGCATAGCTTACATGCTAGACAACCAGGAAAAAGGAAGCAGTGCAAAAAAAAAAAAAAAACTGTGCAACTTCTTTTCTAATAAAAAACTTTCAACTTCACACATGAATTGGTCAACACAGGTCCTTCAATTTAAATGCTTTGCCACCAATACACAACGACATTGAAAGTGATTAGGCGTCCGTTGTTATATTTAAACAACAAGAAATGAAAATAAGTTGTACCTTTCCTCTTGATATCTGATATTCATTGTTGTTCAGACCAGTAACTGAAGTTAAGCTGCCAGATATCAACATAAATCAGTTTCTGAACCAACATGCTATAAATGTGCAAACTCTTGGACACACATGATAGATACTCATTGTGATGATACACATGAAAAAGATTCCTAATGGAAATTCTACTAAGTTTTGGCACTTGCCTTCAGTATTGACATCAATTTCAATGTACTGTTACAGCTAGTAGCCTTTCTCGTCAGGCTAATAACTTACCATATGTTCAATTTTGTGATATCTATGCAGCAATTATATGTAGGTATTTAGCAAACAATTTTATCATAGAGAAAAGGGCATACCCTTTTATAAAATATATATTTCAGCTAACAACAGGAAGTTTGAGAATTGAATATTTTACATCCCAACAATTGGCATCTTGTGACTGTAATAGCACACAAGATAGGAAGATGGACAAATGACATATCATAAGCAAAAAATATTTTAAGAAAAGAAATCAAAGTTCAAGCAATGAGAAGCAAATAACGTGGATCAGTCTGATGGTAAATTTTATCAACCTGAACTGAGCAATTTCTCTCAAGGGTCCACCAATTCCACATCCTACATCCAAGACCTACAATCATGTCAGAACTTTAATGATGTCTGGAAGAGATAATTAGAGGACTAACACAAGCCCTTTTCCTTGATGTGGTAAAATAACTCAAGATTTAGTGAACGAGACCTTCTGTCCTGGTTTCAGCCCTAATTGTAGAGCCAGGAAATGCTCATGCCGCTTAATGCTCTCCTTCAGAGACTCTCCTTTCAATCTGCAGGAAAGTGGAATTTAGTTACCAATTTTTGGTCCCAAGAGTTGCAAAGTGGAAAATTATAAGACAGATAATAAAATGTAACTGTCCACCTTGCTGCGAAGTGGAATGATTCTCCCCAGCCATATTCATAGAAGCTAGTCACCAGGTCATAGTACTTGTTGACCTGACAACCAAAAGCACATAATATGAAACAACATGATGTCTTTGCAGTCAAATTACATACCCATAACCACATTGACAGGACAAAAGGATTCAAATGCTTGAGCTACAAGGGAGCAAAAATGATTGCACAGATGCTTGCTAACTTATAAGCTACACTGCTTGCTATATGACCGTATGTAATCCCAGTCAGCACTTCCTATCTGCAACTTAAAATTCAAACTGAATCACATTGGAAATTCTAAAGTTGGCCAACCAAAACAATGACATGCATTTTGTTTGTAGTAGGCAGGTAAGGAATGCTCAAAATCATCAGAAAATTGCAACAAGCAGGCTTTGCATGCACCAAATTTGATGATCTAGTCTCTAAATCAAACCATGTATCCTAGGGGCTGAGAGGTAACCTGATAAATGCCGATCTAATAGCAGGTGGAAAATTATCAAAGAAAGAGGCTTGGATACAGGAAAATGTCATACTTCCGAAGGCTCAGGGACATTCAATGTGATGATTTGTGGTCACTTTTGGGACCAGTATACTATGAATACTTTGCATGCCCCAGATTTAATAGATATTCTTCCAGCTTATCCTTTTCTTTTGTCAAATCATTGCAGTTGCAAATTATCCACTGAACACACATACAAAACAGTCTAAGAATGACTGTTAAATTAACCACACAAGCAAATGTTTAAATCTGCCACTTAGACGTGACATAGACATCAACATAAGTAAACAGATCCATTATAACAAAGCCCTCTCACCATGTCACTGTAGTTAGCTTTCCTCTCTTCCTCATCACCTCCATAGTAACCATGATATTTCTCATACCTTGTTCAGTATCATTACAAGAAAGGAAAAAAAAAGATCAGAAATTCACCTAAACAATAGAGAAGGCAAAAGGTTTCAAGTGAAATTGTCAAACAACAATGGCCAGAATGATGCTCTCAAACCATCTTCCACCCTTCAAAAGTACAAAGGCCAAAAAACACCAACATACAAGTGCTAGCAAGCAGTAGTCTCATTTAATATTCTCAGAACTGAAAATCACCTTAAAAGTCTTCACCTAGTACTTCATGATGTCATTCATTAGAAACTTCATAAACCCAAATAACTTTTAAACATGTATAAACATTTTTTGTTTTCCAAATAACTTCTAAAACTGTTTCTAAAGGGGCTAGATCTGTAAACATCAGGTGAGTTCTTTGTTATAAATGCAAATCTCAGGTAGAAGGCAATAAACTTTTCTCAATAGTTCATGATCAGCTGATTATTGTTTTTCCAAATCTAAAAGGTATTTTTGGGTGCTCTCAACTTATTATGGCTTCTACTTTTAGCTTATTTTGCTCAGAAAAGCAGCCCCTGAAGTGCTTCTGAGAGCAGCTTTTAGCTTTTAAAAGCATTTCAAACCAACAATATTTTCTCACATTTTATAGTAGGACCTCAACAGCTTTTAATTAATCAGCTTAAGTAATCCCAAACTGTTGGGAACAAGGCCAAGGTTTAAGGACTCAAATGTAATGATATTTAAACTGCTCACAAAAGGAAAACCAGAACATGCGTTAGCAAGAAGATTGATACAAGAAAAATTTGCACTCAGAGAGAGAGAGAGAGAGGCAGAAACTAAACATCAAGGAGCAATTATGATGTCATAATTCAAGAATTATTAAAAAAGAATTGTAACCTGCAACCAACAACTGGACACCTCCACATCAAGCTATTGCTAATTATGATGTCACAACACAAAACATCTGGGCCGAAATTATTTGATAAATCTTGAAATTAAGTACCTTACAAATTAATTCAAAATAGTCTTACCCTGAAACTATTTATCTCAAATCATCGACAAAAAAAACACAAATTTGAAAATTCTAAATGTTAGTATTTTATAGACCAAGTTACTTTATCAAGAAACATTATGGTTACAGCAAGGCATTTACTAAAACAAAAAAAGAAGAAAAAAAAAGAGCACCCGCACTCCAAGATTGACTTCTAGTAATCATTTCATGTCACAAAGAACGGGATACAGTGAAGCCAGCATAACCACATCAGCCTCATCAATTTGGACTAATGACCCAATTTCACACTCAGGTTTAAAAAGCATGACGTTGACTAACTATCCAGGGGAGCAAATTACCATCAACATCAATCCGAATACTAAAAATTGTAACAAATTCAATATGAGGAAAAGAAAAACAATGGGGTTTTACGGAAAAGATAAATTCATGCCAATTTTATGCACAAAATCATCAGTCTGAAAATATCTAAATCTCATGCACAGCATTCATATATCAAGAAAATTCTTAATCCCGTCCATAACAATTCAACGTATTCATATTCATAACATGCATGCTTAGGGAGAGGAAAAAAAAAACAGTGGGACTGCCAGAAATGGGTAAAAACGAGTTCATACTTGTCAACAGCAGAGACAACATCATCCTTGGCAATCTTTCCACCGAGCCCAGTAGCCAGATCCAATGCACTTGGTTTCGACATCTTTTCTCGATGCTTTCACCACCCAAGATCTAAAACGGACAAACAGACAAAACCCACAAAGAATCAGACCAAAAAACAACCCATAAAAGAATTGGGCGTAAAGATTTCGCAAAAAACAAGGCAAGCAAAGCAATGCAGCAGTAATCTTGACTTACGTCGAAAGAGATCTAGCGTGAAATGGAGAAAGAAAGCCGGCAAAGATGGACGGAGAAAAGAGGAAAAAGGGGGTCAGGCCTGAGTCTTGAATGGGATTTTAATAAGAAGAGTGGTGTGCTGAATTACTACTGTGCGAGTGTGCGCTGATAAAGCTGGGTGAGTGAGAGGGGAGTGGAGAAAAGTTAGGAGGAGAAAGACACGGCGGAGACAGCAAAGATTTGTCTCGTTTTTAAATGTTATCTACGTCAGCGGCCCAAGAGAATGAGACGAAACGCACAAAAAAAAAAAAAAATTGTAGAAAAAAAAAGTTTGGGTAAATTGTCCTCATGGCCATGGACATTGGACCACGGCACTTCACATTTCTGGAAGCTATTTTGATTTAGGGAAATTGTGGAGTTGAGCAAGTGGGATTTAAGCTTTGGATGACTTTTGTTTTATCAAAAAAGGGATCATAGAAATTTTCAATTTTATCAGGTTTAGATTAAATTAGCTGAAAAGTTGTAATGTACTCCCTCTGTCCCATTTTGATAGTCCTAGTTTTTTTTTTCACACAGTTTAAGCAAAAATAATTAACTTTATTGGAAAAATAAATTTAGATTGTTATTTTTCTAAAATACCCTTATATTAAATAAAGCTGGCTTTTCATTTATCAATATGTTTTGAAAAATCTAAATGCATTAAATGGGATAGGTTATATTCAATACTAACAATCTATATTAAATAAGGTTGTTTATAGTAATAACAACTTATATTAAATAAGGGTATTTTAGAAAAATTAAAAGACAACTACATTCTTTAATTGAAAAGTGAACTACAATTTGAACAGACGAAAAAGGAAAACATAACTATCAAAGTGGGACGGAGGGAGTATATGTTAGGATGTTAGATTGGAACCTCTCAATCTAATACTAGTACTAAAATTTAGAAAACAAAACTTCTACTACTTAGTAGTATTAAAGTTTACACGAATGACACTGATCTAAAAGTTGAATGACCATAGTAATGGCATGATTGTATATATGTTATGCCAAATTCGGTGTTTAATTATATATATTTTTTCAAATGATAAAGCTCAATCATATCATTGCCACAAAAATGTCCATCTTATCTTTAATATACATAATTTGCAAATTGTGAAAAAAAAAATTTTTTTATCAAGCTCATTTTACTTTAAGCAAAACTTGGGACTAATTCTTGCAACATTTTCTTGTGAAACAAAGATTGTCTTTTTGATTTGATAGAAGTTTGTGTATAATTGAGAATCGAAATAATAATATCAGTGGAAGAAGCAATACAAAATGGTACTTATTTCATAAAGAAAAAACTTTTATATAAAATAAAAAATTAGTTTTAAGAGAATAATTTTGATCGTTCAACATCACTATTGCATAGGTATGAAAATTTTTTGAAGAATTTAAGGAAGGGATTTCATTGATTATATATGCTGGTAACATTCGCTTAACATTCCAAAGCAAACAAAGCAAAAACACGATTTCAAATTTAGGCATGGAGCTTAAACATGTTAGAAACAAAATTGATTTATTCCAATTACCAGGGGCTGAAAAAGCATTTGCACAAAATAGGAGGGAACATTTTGTAATTTTCACAGAAAGTTCAAGAATGTTGGAATCTTTTACTGACTGCTCAGTGACTAGTATTCATGATTTCCACGTCAGCAAATGGAGTCCAGAGGTGGGTAATGGCAAGTGCACGATACCAAGGGAAATTGTGGATTTGGGCGAATATTTGGGTCCTGGCTACTACGGGGGAAAGTGAATATTTTCTATTGCCAATATAACAAGGGCAATAGTACTTGGTGGGGCAGAGAGAGAGAGAGAGAGAGAGAGCGAGGCAGCCAAAAGTTTTTTCATTTTTGCTTCTTTGAATTGGGTGGGGGGTTGAGGTTTGTTGAGTCAGTAAGAATCAATGATTTCTTGACAGAAAAAAATTGGGTGGGGGGGGTTGAGTTGATGGGTAGATAAATCCCCTAGATGCTTTCAAAAATTACCGGCTTTTGAAAATTGTTCGGAGAATTAGATTTATTTATTTCAAAAAGGCTGAGTTTCCTCAGCTTTGGCAAAAGACGGTTGATTTCTTCCCCTTTCTTCATTTTTCATTGAGTGCTCCAAACGAACCCTTTGACTGCTCCAAACAAGCTTCACAGCTGATCACAAGAAGAGAACCATGCATGTTGTTCTTTGCTATTTTTTTTTTTCATTTTGACTTGATTTCATCCTCTATCATATAATCAACTAGTAGCCAAATAAAAAATAAAAGACATATTAAATTTAATAAATAATTTGTTATCCAAATAAAAAGAAAATGGAAAAGAACATGAATGTCCTGATAATTTTCAATATTTTATTTTGACCCATAACTATTTCAAAAAATTATTAATTGGACCATAAATATTTTCAAATTGTATTTCCAACCCCTAAATTGTAGAATTTTTGAAAATCAATTCTTTGTATTAGCTATAAACTCATCAAATATGTCAAGTTAAGGGTAATTTTATATTTGTTTTATTTTATAAATAACTAAAATATATTTGTGATGTCATTATGAAATCATCCGATTAGACAATCGATCGAACCCATTGACTCATGACCTCAGCCAACTCAATGTCAGGTACAAATTTAAAAACATAGCTAAAAGTAAATGGGTGAAATCCATTGCTTGTGGAACAAAAATATAAGAGTACAATTCACGTGCAAGGAAAAAAAATTAAAGTCATATTTTATTGTAATAAAAAATTAAAATCATATTAAATTAGTAAATAAATTTTCTATCCAAACAAAAAGGAAAAAAAAGAACAAATAAATTTTTATCCAAATAAATTTTTTCTATCATTTGTTCTTTTCATTTGTAGCTGGTATGCAATTTTTTGGCTTTTTTTTAAGTTTTGTCCGGCGACCACATAAAACAACCTAAAAATATTTTTTTTTGAGTTGTGTATACGGTATTGGGTTGAATGGGAGACATATTTATAAATTTGAATTTGAATTTATTTTATAATAATTCAAAAAGAGTTTCATTTTTTAATGTAGGTACATAAGCCGGTTCTTTTTATTAGTTTACCTAAGAGTTACTCAATAAGTGAGTTGGTTGAAATCACAAAATAGGTAGATGTTACGGATGATGAATTGATTTCATTTTATATACCTCTTACTTTATACTTTATCTTTATTAGTGTCGTATATAATGATAGATGAACAACAAATTTTCAATTGAATTTATTCTTTCAATTGATATTTTTGTATAATCCTATTAGCAAAAATTGAAACTTGGTTAAGTGCTTTATAAACATATGTATAAAAAAACAAATTTCATGCATCTAGTAGTATATATGCTATCAGTGCATTTACACTCTTACAAAATTTATATTTCACATTCGAACTAAGATTATGTGTCTTTTATTCATGTCTGATCGTGTATATATTGTAGTGTTATAAAAGATTAATTCTTAAAGAAAAGGCAAATTCTTTTTTCTTGTATGTTAGTGAGCAAAGCACTAACATTAATAATTAATTAAATATACGGTAAAATGTCACAAGCATTTAATAGTAATTCGACTTTTTGTTAGAACTACTAGGCTGTATGACTTCTTAGTAGAAAATTGGAGTAGCTTAAATTAAAATTTTTTGACTTAAATACAAAGAGCGTGGTTAGGGATGGCAATGGGGGCGGGTGCCCGCAGGGGGCTCACGGGGCGGGGGTTGGGGCGGGGGCGGGGGCGGGGGGAATTTTTTCCCCCCGCTTAGAAATGGGGCGGGGGACGGGGGAGTATACCCCCGCCCCATCCCCCGCAAAACAAAAAAAAAATGTATATATATAAATGACTATATATTATATGTAAGTTAATTAGTTATAAACTTATGATAATGATATTATTAGTTAGATGTATTATATAATGTATATTAGTTTATGTAATATAATTGATATTATCAATTATATGAATAATTATACATGTCTACTAATAGAATTTATTAATTAGTTATACTAAATTTACTAATACATTTATACTAAATTTCTAATTACACTTAATAGAATAACACTTTTTTCTCAAAAAAAAAGCACAAACACAATGATGAATTAGTGATTGTATTTGTACTAAAAGTGAAAATTTGACTATTTTAGTTATATTTATTTCATCATATTGGATTGTATTCAAATAACTTCTGTTTGATTGTTTTTATGAGTTTCAATTGTAAAATTACAATGAATAATAATTTGGTGATGTGTTGATATTTTAGTACTTGATTATTTATTAAAATTTAATTATAATAAAATTATATAATAAAATTTTATTAACCCCACGGGGGAAGCGGGGGAAGGCGGGGCGGGGGGAGCAGGAAGCGGGGGACGGGGCGGGGGACGAGGGGAACTAATAGGCAACGGGGCGGGGGACGGGGGAAGGGTCCCCCGCCCCAATCCCGCCCCGTTGCCATCCCTAAGCGTGGTTCCCTATAGCCTATAGCCCACTGACAGGATCAAGAATTTAATTGCAAAAAGCAAAAGTTTTTAGGGACCATTGGTGTAAATATCAAAAAAGTAGTAAGTTAGTTTGTTAGTTGCAACAGAACTGCAGAAAGAGTTATTTATCAGTAGTAGTTAAATAACTTCTAATCATGCTTCAATTGTATAAAGGCTTAAGCTTGTAATGGATGGGCAATCAAAAAATAACAAACTCATTGATTCTATTCTTTCCCTCTCTCAATTCTCTCTCTTTCCCCCTCATTTCCTCTCTTTCCCTCCCTACTTCCGTGCTTATCCCTATCACTGGTTCCTTTGATTATTGAAGGGCCTGATAAATTGGTATCAGAGCTGACTGATCCTTGGCAGCTCGTGGAGTTCAAATGGTGGAAAGTACTCATTTCAAGACTCTTGAAGATCATCTCAAATGGCAAGAAATCAAGTTGTAGGAAGTTATGGAAGATGTCAAAACCTAGCAGTTTCAGATGAAGGAAGAACTGGCCGGAAAGGATAAAAGGCTGGATTCAATCGTCCTAGGGATGGATCAAAAATTTCAAGCACCGAGCTCAATGATGAAAACATGGATGAGCAAAAAGAGAAATCCAACTAAAGAAGAAAGGGGTGGAAAGGATCGTACGCCCCTGCTACCTACTCCTTCTATCCATCAGAGATTGAATACAAGAGTGGAAGAAGGAGCAAAAAGCTGCAAGCGAATGGGTAAGATTTCTAGTTGCACTTTGCCTAAGATTGAGCTTAATATGTTCAGTGGGG